GTAGTAGTAGTAGTAGTAGTAGTAGTAGTAGTAGTAGTAGTAGTAGTAGTAGTAGTAGTAGTAGTAGTAGTAGTAGTAGTAGTAGTAGTAGTAGTGTTGAGTGTACCAATTCATTTCCCCTTTCCATTCTCCTCTCACTGCAAACTCCTAGGTACCGCTATCTGCCCGGCCCTTGTCCGCTGTCCCCACCACCCTCTACAAACGGATATGCGCCAGAACTGTTGCTTCCATAGCTTCAAGGCCGTCTGCGGGAAAAGACGAGCTATGAGACGCGTGCGTTAGGTCCAGTACTCGGCTGCCATAGTCCGATCTGGGTTTCACCGGGCGGCTTTCTTGCCTCGCCAATCAACTGGAACAATAATATCCACTTCAGCCTTTTTTTTTCTTACAAGAAATTGTCGATGCTCAAATAGCTAGCACGTGACGGTACGGCAAGCAGCATCTGGCTTACTGGCTTTCGCCGGACTGGCAGCATCTAATCTCGATTTGACAATGTGTCAAAGATTCGTCCTTGGGTACCTAAGGCACTCACACGCCCAACCTGACACTTTTCACTTGCTTATCCACTTTTCTTAGCCAAAATTAGTGTACGGGGGCATCAAGGATCACTGCCACCAGATGCCATGGTCGGGGGACAGCTCGCTCCGAGATCTTTTCGCAAGCAAGGTGGAGTACACCAAAACAATTTGGTTAGAGCAACGTTGAATGGATATCTTCTTTCATCCTGCTTTACGGACAAGCCCAAGATCCTTGAGGCTTTCGAGGATTAAGGACTTCGGAGCGAGCTGTTGAGCTGCGACCAGTATGGAGGGTGCGATGGGCCTACCACGCTGGATATAGATGCTACGTACTAACTAGAAATTACTGACTAGACTAGACTAGCTCTATTGACTCTCGGATAGTGGAACCATCGTAAGGTTCGATCATTTCGTGTTGAGCATTTCACTCCACCATAGTGGGCAGACGGTGGTATCGGCAACGTTGCCCTTCGCAATGGTCCCGACTGGCTAATCAGCAATTGCAAAAAAGCGAGAAGGGTTGCCCATGGCTCGATTGTCCGATTTATGGAACTATTTCAAGAGTCATCCATCATGTCTACACTCTATACACTCTAAATGTAACAACCTACACACATAAATCAGCCTGCTATTGGACTGAATCTCGGCCTTTCTTCCTTTGTCTCTTTCTCATCCAAGTGCCGACATGTTGGTAGAAAAATGCAAGTCATTACACCACTTCCCTGTTTATTATGATGGGACTAAAGTACCTTTTACTATCTCTAGGATAGCGCGGTGATCTTGGGGTAGCAGACCAACGCTAAGCTGACCGTAGCCGAACTAGGGCGTTTCGTCTATGCTGTACAGTAAGTAGTAAGTTAAGTTACTGTACATCCTGTACATACCCCTAGGCTTCTAAGTCTCAACTCCCGCTTCCTAAGATTAGGCTGATTGAGGTGGTCTTCTTTCTTTGTATTTGTATTTTTTTCTTTTCACAATGCGTAAGTGCCCCATTGGTACTTTTGCCCTAAACGTCTTGTTACCGCACAACGTACTGATGCTTAAATATTCAGCTACGAGGGGCCCAGACTTGTTCGAATCGGGAGCGAAGGTATATTCTTGAAGCCGACAGGCTGGGAAATAAAGTACGTCCTGTAGCTGAAGGTCGTCTTGACCATTTCCCGCTCTCAATCGATCTCGGTAGTTCTTTCCCTCCAGCCACAGGGCGTTGAGTACACCGAAGGCAATTCATGCCCCCCAAAGATTTGACACGAACGATGTGAATGCATCCAACCGCGAACCCATCGCTCGCGGATGCACGTCTTAGTCTAAAGGTAAAAAGTTAAGATCAGGAAGACAAGACAGCAGTGGCGAAAGAATTCGGATCACGAGCCCTTTGCCGATCTACCCACTCTTTCTTGATTCTTTTCATTCAGCAAGATTACCTTTTTTTTTTATCTGTGAGTTGATGAAATGTGGAGTCCTATATCACAACTCTGATCTCATAAGATTGCCGATCCACTGGTGGTGTGATACAGATCCGGACGACATCTCAGTCTCTCTTGAGCAGAGCAATTTGGGCAGCTCTCAACATTCGTCATGCTGCTTCAGCTTGATTCATCCTGTGTCATCAGGTCACCTGTCGCCGCTCACTAGTACAGCTCTTCTACTGGATGAAATCGGACAGTGGCATCGTACTTGTGGGAAGAAAGCATGTACTGGTACTTTAGTACACACTGGCGGCAGCCGGCAACTGGGGTCAGCACAGCACACTACTAACCGTACATCAATGTACCCCGTGCTAGCTTGAAATGGTTGGTTGCCTTCTTCTTCTTCTTCTTCTTCTTCGCTTTGGATGTTTCTCGGTCCAATCTCCGACATGCTGGAGATGCAATGAGCAGTAAGTTCAGTAGTGTCCGCTCCCCTCTTCTTGCTACACTAGGGTAGGATTCCCTGTCCATTGCCCATCACTAATTTCATGCCCCCTCCTCCCCCCTACCCCCCTGTTTCCTTTGTCTCTGACCAAAGGAAGCTAGCAATAACACAAAGCATCTAGTCGAAGTCACATCGGTGGCGTATGTCCAGTTGGTTGGCGGTAAATAGACAATTATTAGTCAGGACAGAATGTCACTAAGTACTAAGTACAGTATTCATTTTATCCTCAACATGCTGACAGTCCGTCCAGCACTAGTCGCAGCACGCTATTGTATCCGACCAATGACCGCTGCATCTTGAATTTGGCTTGCCGATGCACGCCGACTATCATACAACGATTGCGTCTTCTTTGATAGACTCAGAGGGACGAAAAAGAAAATTGAACCAGGCAACATCAGGTTTGACGGAGGATGGACGCCGTCAAGTGGCGGTGGGAGATTGGCTTGTGGCCCAGGTGCTTATCTCCTTCCTTCTTAGATATCGCTCTGAAGATCTGAGACTGCATCTCCATCAGCTCTTTCACCGCTGCATAGGAAGGTTGCAGAAAAATACAGCACCGGAAGTGGGCGAAAGGTGAGGGAAAGGCATGGATGGAGAGCGATGTCCCCCAGTGTCATCCAGGATTTTGATTACGGTTATCCAACAGACGAGAGTGTTGACGATTACAAAGACGAGGAAGATAACTACTGACTTCTCAGAATGGCGGTATTGCCAATCATAGTCCCTGCTGTGCTAGACAGGGGCTACCTATTTCTTTACCTTCGTTTCCGCCGCTTGACGCGCCCATATTTTCGGGCTTATGCAGCCTCGAAATAGAGGAGTGTTCTAGGTCCCTCTCTAGAACCAAGATCACTGACAGTGCCTAGGAGGAGCACTTGCCCAGGCTGCAGGCTAGCTGACAGCTTCCATCTCGCCCGGACACTGAATTGGCCAGCGGCTGTAGGCGAGTCCATGATGCAAAGGAACAGCACCACAGGAACTGAGACGGAACCCCCGCCTGTCAGTTGCCTGTCAGCTGCAGAACATCCTGCTCTAGTGCGCCGACATATACAAGGGGGCCGATCCAATGGACAGAAAAGGTATCGCTGGTTTTGATGGGAGGGTGCTATGGCTTGGAATTAATTGCGTCAAATAGAGGAACTTTGAGCATTGAATGCTGACGACGAACAAAGAATCGACACTCGACTTTTAGTTTATGCCCGGTAGATGTGACAATGGGACATGATCAAAGGGATTTCCTACAATCCCATTCTCCCCAATCATTGAATCAAGTTTGCCTAGCCTGTTGCTGTGTTTGCCAAGTGGGTGCCAGTATGCGGGCAGCGTCAGGGTCAGCCCTCCATAAAAAAATGCGCAAAAAAGAGAACTAAGGTGTCAGGAAAAGCAAAGAATTTTTTTTTCTAAAAAAAAAACCAATGACAAAAGGAACTCCGGGTATCACAAAGCAAGCCATCTACT